GGACTCCAAACCCTACTGATGGTGGCGTTTCGAGCGCACCACATATTGGTCAATTTTGTAAATCTATCTAGTTTTTCTACCTAAGTGATAAAGGCAAATGTTTTATCTCATTCGACTCATCATACCACCAGTTACAAAGTTACGTATCCTTCTTTTTTTCTTTTCTTTCCTGTGTTGAGAAAAATCGTTTTTACTGGTATCATAGTCATTTTAGGCGGTATTCAAGGTTTTTCGAATTCAAATAAGACTTTTAGTCATAAACTAAATACAGATTCGTTATCAGCACAAAAAACTGAGTCGAATGAAGTGTATTTCCAGTCAATTTGACAATTTTCATTTTTTGGCCTGCATACAACAATTGCAGCTCAACGACGATACCTGAAAAATCTTAAGTGACTCATTTGACTACTTCTTGAGATCTCAAAAATCAGCTTTCTAGGAGATCTCCAGAAACCCAATTTTTCGAGATCCTTTTGGAACACTTTTATAAGATATAGCAGCCATCGAGCTTTTCACCACTTGTCGCAAATTGTAATTTTATTAATGTAGGACAATTTAGAAGCGCCTTGCAGTACCCCGATCCTTTAATGTCAATTACTTTACCGATGATCGCCCAGTAAAGCTCGAAGACGCCTGATTCGAAAGATAATTGGCTGCTCTTTTTATCTCTTTTCCAAATCAGTTGAAGAACTTATTACATCCGAATGGTAGAGGCTAAAAGAATACAGAAATGGTCAATACTCAACTTTTCTTCATTCATGATAGGTCGTCGGATACTTTAAAATTAGCACCTACAACTGAAGATGACACTCTTTACTTGGCCGCCGTATTCGATCGTACCATTAAAATAAGAATATGCGTTTGGATGATAGTTATAGTGTTGATTTTGTAAACATATTATAATAGTTGCTTTAAAAATTACAGGTAGGTGGGACTACAAAATATTTCGTTAGAGTAAGTCACTAGATAACATTTCTTACAAATTTCTGTCTGTTATTCGCTCTTTCAGATGTTATGCTCAGAAAGTTTTTAGACCTTCCCATACTCCAGTCCAGATATTTTCCTTTTTCGAGAACAGAAAGGCTTGAAAGCTACGGTCGAATTTTTGTAACCTGGACTACATGCTGTGAAAAACGTTTTTTTCTTGAATGTTAATAAGGACGCCAGCTGTCGAACCCAATCACTGGCATTCCTATAAAGTTTTTATTGAGCAAGGAAAAGTAAATATTCTCTGCTATACGGATAATTTTTGGACACTACCTACACTAAAACGCCATCATTCTGATTGACTAAGTACCCATTTATATCCGCTAGAAAAGAATCCCCAAAACTTATAATGGAAAGATTTTTTATCTTTATAAGAACAAATATGACACTTACCTGCAGTAAGCGTCTGTTGAAGTGTTTAGAAAAATCAGAATCTGACACAAAGCTGACAGTAATTAATACCATTCAAATGTTGCTTTCTCTCATATCTTCTGCGTATATATATTTGAACTACATAAGTTACATACACATAAAATCATTAAACAAGATTTCTTTGCAAAATAAAACCAAAGCAATTTGACTCATCATGATGAATCTGATAACTTATGGTTGGAAAACTTAACGTTACAGTATCGACTAATAACGGAATTAAATTTAGATGAAAAAATGATTTTTTTTCTTTATAAAAGAAGCTACGGGGTGTAGTTAACAACATTTTATACATCTTAGTATCAAGTTAAAATTTTTAGTAAACATAAATTATTCGTACAACAGAGAATATTTGCTTTTTCTTGCTCAATAAAAACTTACACAGGACTCTGACCAAATTTTTACAGAATGATACTCTTACATAGATTGATTAGTATCAGAGTTTAAGCGTGAAAACTACTTCTTCTCCAGCAGTTGGTATTTCGAATTTTTGAGATAAAACAACAACAAATATTTTCATCCGATGAGAAAGTTTGTAGTTGTTTTATCTCAAAATCATTTTGAGATCAACTCAGGTCTCGTGGAATTTAAAACAATGGAGAAATGTGAAAAATGAACTTTTTGATAATTATTCTTGGCAGAACTATGATTGAAACAGTGTTCACGCTTTAATGTTGGCTCTAATCAATCTAGGTGAGAGTATCATTCTGTAAAAAATTGGGCAAAGTTCTGTATTTTGTGTCAAAACTATGTGTGATAGAAAGAGAGTGCTTAATTTCTGCTTCTCTGTAGCAAATGTTAATCAACCTTAGATTTAGAACAGAGATGAACGAGTCACCACTATTTCGCGTCCAAGTCGTATCAAAAATTGACTGGAGTCATGTTCTAAACGTAAATTTCCTCCTAATTCATTTTTCCAAGAATAGTTAGCAGGAACAGCTTCTAAGAACGGCGTCTGGTATATAACAAATATCATAAATACCGTCATAATAATCAAAATTGTATATGACTGACTCAAAAATGACTCCAACCAGTTTATCGAATCTGAGTTAATTTTTAGAATAATCATTCTTTTAAAACTTGAATGCAGCCGACACACTGTCATAATAATTAAGTGAAAAATTCTTCTCTAAACTTAGTGTGAATTGTGTAAAATGAAAAATCTACATTAGCATTTTTTTCTACAAACTCTAATTTAAACTAAGTTAAAATAAAGGCGGCAAATTAATTTTAAAATTAATCCTCGTTCTTATCATAATTTTGCTAAAGCTCTATTTTATCCGATTTTACAAGTGAAGACGTATAAGAAAAGCTTCTTAGAGTTGTCCTAGTGGGCAAAAATGTGAAAACTTTCATCTTAGATATGCGGATAGTCTAATGAACATAGCTGAGAGTGTCTATTGAAAGAAGAAAATAATCTCATTCAAATATTCATCCAGCAAGATCATGTAATAAGCTAACAATTCTAATCGTGTTAAAATGAAATATAATATTTTTCATGCTCTTTCTAGTGAACACATTTTTTCAAACTCCTGAAAATTTCTCAGAAAATTGCACTAAATTATTGATAATAGTCTGAAATATTTATTTTTGCTTCTGGTAGGTATAAGACCGTTCTAACGATTGATCGAGCTAGAAGACGAAGACGGATTCTTATACAAATCTGTGAAGGCTATGAACCTAGCATAGTGGAATTCTACAGGTATTCAGTGAAGAGTAGGTAGATCTGGAAGTAACCTATAATACACGTTTCCATCTGTTTGTTAATTTAGTTCTTCCGTATTGTATGCAGTTCGAGACTGTGGATACTGATTTTGTATGATCTTTGATTTTCAGTTAAAGGAATGATTCGTTACTGAAGATTTTCCTTATACAATGAAAGATGTTAAGTCATGAATGATCTAAGAAAATGAGACGTAATATTTCGGAGTACTAGTCTACGATAATGTAAAATATTAGTACTTCTACTTCTATTCTCAGTTGTACTGTCTTCATTTGTTTTCTTGTTATATAATGAACTGTTTGTGCATATAGGAGGACTTTATAACTAGAGTAGAACAAACTCAACAAAGAATATATTAAGATCATATATTCAGATGATGTATTTTTAACTGCGTGTACGATAATAATAAAGAATATTTGGATGTCATCAATGACTTTTTCTATTATTTAAACAAATCAGCTAACGTAAGTTATCTTCAATATTGGAAAGAATCGTCTTATGTCACTAACAGCAGCTTGACAAGTTAACGAATGTTCAAAACACAAAAAGTAATAGAAATAATTATGAGAAAAATGATATCCGAATACTAGTAAAATGAGAAAAAAAACACATTCTTTGTCATGTGCATTCTGGTTTGATTAATCATATGAATAGAAACATCCTCTTTTCTTTTGAATACAATCTTCTTTTGAATAAAAAAAGAAAGAAAAGGAAAAGCGGAACTATAAGTCGACAGTTCGCTAAAAAAAAATAATAATACTAATATCCTTAGCAACTTTTTCATATTTATAATAATTTTCTGGTAAGTTAGCTTATTTTTTAAAAATCATATTTTCATCAAGTTTTCTTTTTATAAGTTAACGTAGATGATTACGTCAAACATTAGATAAGAATTTAACTGTAAGAGTGAATGATAGAATTTGATTTATAACTTTCAGATCTTTGGGCAGTGTCTTATTTTTACCATTATAATTGATCTCTATTCGGCTAGCATGTGAATTATTATTAGCCGAACACACGTTGTCTCAAGAAATGATTATGTATCACTTGAATGGTAGACACAACGTGATAGATGTCTTTATCTAGTTGAAAAGTGCAGATGAGTACGAGTACCGTTTTCCAACTCGTACTCGACATAAAAATGTTTTTTCATTTGTACTCGATCCACATCCAACTTATGTCTTCTCTCCTTTTCGGTTTCGAACTAAAAACTTTTGTTTTTCGACTGCAGATGTCAAGTTATCATTACGTTCCCAAGTAACTCTTGTAAAACTTCATGTATTTTAGCTAAAGTCCTATATTTTTTTGACTAAAATTTTATGGTTTTTCAGTAAAATCTTCCGATTTTCAGGTAAACTGAAAGAAAACGGAACCCGCGCCCATAACTGCTCTACTCGTACCTGACAACTTTATACCCGTACCCAATATTTGAGTTGGATCGGTTTTCACATTTCTATTGGAAAGAGTATAGCTTAGTATTAAAAGGTGAAGGAACTTCGGAGACAGTCACACAGTATTTTCTAGACTGCATGATTCTTTTAGTGTTATATAGAATTCTGAAACTTTTCAATATTAGATGTCTTAAGATTGTAGTCTAACCTAAACTCCGTATCCGATTCTGTAATATTTGATAATATTCTATATAGGCACGAACTGTAATCAAAACCACTGATCTGTTTTGATCTACTTTGTACTGTTAACCAATCACTGAGAATCGTTACTGTTTCTGAGAGACAAAATAGAAATAAAAGTTTTTATAATTGAACAGAAAATATCAATAAAAGTAATAGTAAATCGTGTTTTAATTTTTAATTCTTATCTGCCTGTAATTGTTATTCTTTTTAGTTAATACAAATCAGCTATGAGTGCTCTAGCGGTATTACATGTGGTTGTTGACATCTATGTACAATCAGACAAAGCTGAACGTGTTAAAAAACTTCTTTATGATTTAGCTAGTCAGGCGAAGAGAGAAGAAGGTTGTATGAGATACCGTTTATGTGAAGATTTAGCAGATAAAACACATCTTATATGTATTGAACAATGGGAAACGGAATTAGCTTATGAAGATCATCTGAAGACAGAGCACATCAAAAAATGTGGTGAAGAATTGAAAGATGATCTTGCAAGTCCAGCCGAAGTTCGACGATACAAAATTGTACAAATAGAGAGTACTGTGAAGAAAGAGACAACAACTAATTCAAGTGGATTTTGTAATATTCTCTGATTAACTAACGATTGTATGAGATTTTTTAAAACTACTGTTATTAACGTATTTTTAAACCACTTTTAACTATAGTTTGTTTATTTACTAATATATAATTATCATTATAAACTACCTCTTATTTATGTTGATTTAATGACAGCAAGAAGTTCTCTTTGTTTTAAATGAAATATCATAGCGCGAAGGTATTTTCATCTGCCATAGACAGAGTTTGAATGAGTGTTTTCTAGCGACTTCCTGGAAAACCGATCATTGAGAAATACTTTCAACTTTGTTTTAGTTATAAAAAGACAGTTTAAAGTCTTGGCTATCGAATCACAAAAGCCACAAGTTCTGTCGCCTATCGTTCTTGAGTTATTCAAAAACCACTGACCGGCATATAAAAATCCATCAGAAGGGAACCTGTTAGCGATACCCTCGGTGGAATTCGCACACAGGATCGCGTTAATAGTAAAATTAACTTGTTGTTGTATTATCATTGAATTCCTTGTGAAAAGTTGCATATCAGACTGGTTTTTATTGAGATTTTATTATACTATAGCAGAAATATAATGAGTGAAGCAAGCCTCTAGAACTCGGTGCCCCCAACCGAGCTCCCGAAGCCATTTTAGCGAAATCTATAAATCGCAGGATGGACTATAATAGTACACCTGGCGTACTTCAGCAGTATACCACGGGGCTTCAGAATGGCCTCGTTTCCATCGAGAAAATATTCCTAAAAATCGTCCAAAATGGTCATTTTTGGGTAACATTGCAACTTTTAAATCGTCTGTATTGAGAACGAAAGCACCGGAGCCCGTCATCCTTTTACCAAATATGCTTTGGCATATAATCGATTTGGAAATATAGTTGAGAGTCTCACGGTTGACTTTGTTTCAATTGAGTGCTATAGGAAAATTCAAGGTTTTCTGGATTTGGGCTCCTAGTACGCCGTCTATTACAAAATAACGAAAGCATACCTTGAGCTCGTGGTTGCGTGGTTTTGTAGTTCACACTATCTACTATTTGTGGGAAAATCTTCAAGGTTAAGTAAGCTGTAATTACTGAATTACAAGAGTTTGACAACTTTCCATGATGGCACAATCTACGTTTTTCGGGGCTTTTCGTAACATTTTAATATCTCAGCAACGATACAACTTTTTGATTTGCGCCTTTTAGCAAAATTCATTAAAATGTTTGGTCGTCCTTTGCTTCGTTTCTTATGTCTAGATAATTGCAACTTCTCAGAGATTTATCGATTTAGTTTATTTTATTAACGAAAAGTGAGACTCATTCAAGGTCCCGACTCAAATGACTCAAGCCAAATACAAACAAAGTACGAAAAATAAAGACATAATAGAAGATATAAATATCAAGAAAGAAGAACTGTAAATAAGCTGTTAGAAAAGGCAAAGAGTAGGTTATGATGATGATCTTCTTGTTTCGAGTTTCGCTAACGAGGGAACCTTTCCAGGTGTCCAACCGCTATTCTAACGAAATGCGGTAGTTGATAGGTAATCGACCATGTTGATTCCGAATATGATAGCCGTTTTTGCCGTTCTAACCAGTTTTCCAGAAACCTTGAAAAATCCCCAAGAGTTCTAAATTGGTCACAAGTGTAGCCCGCGAAATTCTGATTAAAATGAGACATCTTCCAGCTCTACGCAACCTTTCTTTGCAAAGTTATATATTTTACAAGAAAAGCCCTAAATGTTTATTGTCACCACAGAGCTGCAGAAAGAAGGAAAGATAAATTTAGGGCTTTTCTTGTAAAATACATAACTTTGCAAAGAAAGGTCGCGTAGAGCTGGGAGATGTCTCATTTTAATCAGAATTTTGCGGGCTACAGTGATGACTAATTTAGAAAACTCCATCATGAGCAAAGATTATACCATAAAGATCAATTATACGAATGATCGCAAGTAAGCCAGGCCCATTTCTCAGAAAGTTCAACCGTTTACTACAAAAAAGATCAGACATAATCTGCCTCCCCATCCCCCATCTTGCATATTCGAATATCCTCTTTCAGTCCTGATTAGGTCATGTTTTACTCGGACTTTTCTTCGAGAACATGATGCAAACAAGCCTCACCATAAAGATTCTCTAATGACAAGAAAAACCCTGCAAAAACCTTTTATACTTCTTTGTCAATGACTAGACCTTAAGAAAGGTAGAAATCTTATTTTTCGTCTCTCGAAAGATCGTTTCTTGCCACAAGAACACTAAAAAATACATCTTTTATGGGCAATAAAACTTATCTTGAATGAATTTTCTTATGACAGTTAGGATTCTGATTTTACCATGTTTTACCCGGTTTTCCCTTCGGAAAAATGATGCAGTACATCTCAAAATTAGTTAGAGTTTGAGCTGAAAATAAGTACACACAATTCTATTCACATCTCTCAACTCGCTCTCTGTGCACCTATTCCGAATAAGTTATCATTCAACTTATTCAAGTTAAAGTAAGAATAAGAATATATTCGGTTTACTACTGATATACGGATATCGACTGTTGTGATGTTTAGTCTTTTTCTTCTTAGTGAACGCACACTATTCAATATATCGAAGAACAAATAAGAATAGAAAAATGAAAGAGAAATCCACATGTGCAAATCTCGCGTGCGTTCACTAAGAAGAAAAAGACTAAACATCACAACAGTCGATATCCGTATATCAGTAGTGAATCGAATATATTCTTATTCTTACTGTAAGGGCCGCCCCCTCTCAGAAATGATCTCCTACACCGTACATCCGATCTTGACGAAACTTTCCATAAATGTTAGGCACAATGAGTTACCGGAATGAAAAAGTTTGTTTGTCTCCACATCTTACGGTTCAGGAGTTTTACTCATACTTTGTCCACACATCTTACCGAGTTTGGGTTTTTTATCAGAATGGATTGCTCTTTTCCTAACTGCAAAATCCAAACTTCGATCATGTTTTCCGATTCTTACTTGAGCACATTGTTGGAAACGGGAGGTTGCAAATTTTTAACGTATTTTACAATCCATGAGAAAGAGCACATTTGTAAGTACCAAATAGAAATACCATTCTCACTTTTGCTACACTGTTTTACGGAGATAATACCAGAAGATTAAAGTTTGATCCTTTACTCCCCGTTGTCACTGGAGTGACTCACTGGGAAATGACTTGAAAATGTCCTGTTTGGGGCTGGTTTTCTGAAAAAGGTATACCTAAAAACTTGGGAAATTAAGTTTTTCCATGGGGTTTTTCGAAAACTCGACTTTGATCGGTTATTACGCTTGTTGGCGGCGGAATTTGTGATGGCTAAAGCAACCGCACTCGATAATGTTCAATATTCATCATCCGAAATACGTGTACATTGAATCAGCGAACTAATGTTTTAAATGATAACTGTTACATTGAACTATCTTTGCAAACATTCGTCATTATTGCACAATTATTTGAAAATATTCAGATTATATGTGCTTTGCAGCACATAGCATCTAGTAATACGAGGAATTTACTGAACATCAGCTGTTCCAGGGAAGAATGTCAGAACAAGGTAATAATCATTCGAGACAAATTAAGACTGCCATGTTTTGTAGCAGAAGATTAAAGTTTAATCCTTTACTCCCCGTTGGTCACTGGAGTGACTCACTGGGAAATGACTTGAAAATGTCCTATTTGGGGCTGGTTGTAAATTTGATATAGTTCGACCAAAAAACATCGTAGAGAGCTTGGAGAGATCTCATTTTGTAGAGAATTGTCTGCTCTATCATTTCACGTAGGTTCCAGGTGCTGAAAAACTAGGCGTTTGGTTTTCTAGCAAACTCTATTATTGGGAATCTACTGATGATTTTTAGTTTCTCAAATGCCGGTTGGAAACAATTTTCCTAGCGTTTATGACTGCGAAAAAAAATCGAAAATACACCCAGGTGATCAATTTTTGTACCCACTGTAGTTTTTCAGCACCGAGGACCTGCGAATAAAATTTTCTTCAAACTACGTGGAATGACAGAGCAAACAATTAGAAAATCAGAAAATGATATGTCCCCGAGTTGTCTACGATGTATTTTCGTCGAACTATATCAAATTTACGAAAAGCCCAAAATTGGACTTTTTGAAGTCATTCGCCCCCAGTGGTTTACTGGAGTGACCAAACTACTCTACACAAATGAGAGTGTGCCTGACCCATCTGTCCATAGTATTGCCATATTGGAGACGAATACTCTATTCCAGTAGTTGTTTCATCAGTGGGTCCTCTGGAACCGCTGTGCGGGGGGGGGGAGGCGAGCATCTCGCGCCACATCCTTATGAACGTTAGGGTCTTAAGGAAACATAGTATTTTCTGTTTATTTCGAGAGGCTCATCTTTTATGGCTCACATGGTCCCAAACGACTGTAGAACCTCGAATATATCCCACAGATATAGATTTATAAGCGAAGATTTATAAACAATAAAGTTTAATCCCCATTTTTCATGAAGATTGCTTTGACGTAATATTACGTCAATAACAGTTAAGGGGTTAATCAGTTTTTCTTGAAATAAGATAGATTTAATCTCACACGACATTTTCAGCGAACTAAAGTGACACGTAACAACGACATCATTCTTTTGTGTGTCATAATCGAATATGCGGTTTACTGCATTCTAGGCGGTCATCGCTTATGATCAGTCGCTTAGGAGATCATATACGTGAAAAACGATAAAAAGATAAAACTATCTATTTATTCTCAAATAAAATGAGAGGAATAATACAGAAAATGATATAAAAAATAACTTTCTATACAATATGAACACACGGAAACCAAGATTTTGGTCCACTGTCAATCACGAATAGTAGGTTGTTGAAAGAACTAAAAGATGATGCATTAAAATGCATTTCTCTCACATGCTTTGGAAAAATTCAACGCGTTCAAACGGCCATCTCAGACCGGTGGATGTATCTGAACGTACTGCATGTATGATTTTCAATCTAATCGACGCGTTTAAACGCATTCTCTACAATTTCCACCAACTCAATGCGTGCAAACGTTTTTCATCAAAAACGCGGTAAAATGCGCTCTGTGCACATGAAAACTTGTTAAAAGTCGTCAAAAAGTTAATTAAACCCGTATAAACATGGGCTATTTACCGCTGCAATGCGTTTAAACGGACTTTTTTAACCTTTTTTACTGAAAAATACGTTGTAACGCATCCACTTTTTCTTTTCTACGCGTTTAAACGTTTCGTTTTATAGTCAAAAACTCATTTAAACGCGTGTATTTTTCGAGAAAAACATTTAAAAGTGCCTACGACGCGTTGAAAACGGTTTCAGCGCGTCAAGAATCACGATTTTAAATGCAAAACTCGTAAAAATACGTCGTAGCCCCGCCCGAAAGGCACAACAGCCATAACACATCCGAAAGTTAATTCATTCAATTTTCCTGGGGTATAACCTGTTCAATTTTGCAATTATCTTTTCTGAAATATCTAATGTAACAGTCAAGAGTATAAATCATTCTACTATTCAATACACATGGTACGATAAGTAATAGATGGAATAAAGCAGACAAAAAAAAGTTACCGCAAAACGCACGTACAAATACAAGAAAAGAATAGTAAAACAAAATGAATGTTTTTTTTGACACCAAAATAATAAAACTATTCAATTTTTTTTCGACCTTCAGCGGCTGTGCCGTTGTTAGATGGCCTTTGTTGGCAGATATAATGTGTCTGCGTATTATTTTTGAAATAATTCAAATAATATTTATAAATATTGAAAAATGCATAATGTCCTACGAGTTACTTAATTGTAGTGAGTACTTTAGTTGTAAGTGATGTCACTAGCAAGCATTTTCTCACTAACCTAATGATCGACTATTGTATGTAAGACAATGTGCTCCTATACTTTTCCATCCTCTTCCAGTATAAATTTGTGGTTGACTAGTGTTATCATTTTCATCACCACCACAAATAATAAAATTATGTGCAATATCATCAAAGCCATTTTCATCTATATTCCACTTTTGGAGTGCATTTATATATCGTATACAATCTTGCTGTGTCATACTTCTATTAAAACCACTTAATTCATGTACGACAATATATGAAACTGGTATAGGTAAATCCTCACGTGCTATTGATTTAGTTACATTCCATACATTTCGATTTAAAATATTTGAACAGTCTACATAAATACAGATAATAGATCTCTAGCATCGTAAATAAAAAGAATATAGAACGTGAATCGATTTTACTAACTGTTTTTCGTTCGAACGAAAAAGAATCAGTAAAATCGATTCACGTTCTATATTCTTTTCATTTACGATGCTAGAGGTTTACATTAGAGACTCTACACCAAAATTGATGAAAATAAGGTAATATATGCAGACTTTCATGGCGACTCCGACAGCGGGCTCCTTGTAATTCTATTTTGACTTCTCTTCTGACGTCAATATAATCTACGTGATTTTTGCCTAAATTTTAATCCTGTCATTGGTTAAGACAAAAAGCGCTAATGAACGAACCAAAATGTTTTGCAAAAATCGCGTAAATTGACGTTAGAGAAGAAGTCGAAATAGAATTAGAAGGAGCCTGTTGTTCACCTCGAAGTTCTGCATATACCATCTTATTTTCATCAAATTTGGTGCAGATCAGCAAAAGTACCTAATTGATTAATGATGATATAAATCTTTTGCACTTCTACAATTAGACTAAAATATGAAAAGATTCTCTGTTTCACCATTTTAGGTTAAGTCTTCAAATAATTTATCCTGGATACTTATGCAATTAACATTTTTCTGAAAACACAGCTTTGTAGAACAAACGTTTCTGATCAAAATAAGACTTCGCACAACTCTGTATGACCTTGCATCAAAAAGTTACAGGCATTTCCCTAGAAGTCCTAAAATCGAGTATTTCATACAACGTTTAATATAACGTTTTCTCTATATAAGAATTACACCTGAAGTGTGTCCCAAGATTTTTAATAGCGGTTTGTCGTAGAGAGTTCATTCTTTTTTTGTTTAAAAGAGGAAAAGAAACTACATCGACTGACCGGCGTGGATTTTTGCATTAGGCTTTAGTTTTTTGTCAAACTGAGGATTTTTAGAAAACCTGGAAGGATTTTTCGGGTTTTGAAGGTTGTTGGCTGCCTGAAAAAACAATAAAGACTTAACAAAAAAAAATCGGCGCCTGTCAGATCAGCTGTAGTTAGGTGTCTAGTTTAAAGTAAAACAAACCCGAACTGTCCAGCTTGAAGTATATTAAAAAATCTTGGGACACATCTCAGGGTCCTTTTTGGACCTTAATCTCTGGAAATCTCCTGAACTGTAAAACTTGGAGACAAAAAAATTTTTTCATTCCGGTAACTCATTGTGCCTAACATTTAAGGAAAGTTTCGTCAAGATCGGATGTACGGTGTCGGAGATAATTTCGGAGGGCGGGGGGCCCTTAAAATATTGAAATAACCGTTTTTTTTACCGGTTTTCGGTTAAAAATTGCAGAAAAATGTCAGTATAAGCTTTTTCGAATGTTATTTTTATTGTTGTTACCTGGATCTTCATATTACTCTAATTCAATTTCAATTGAAATTGCTGCATGTGAATCATTAATATAATGTCGTTTGAGATTCACCACTTTGAAAACAGCAAATGGTAGAATGAAAATTTCTTTTTCATCAGGTCTCACTGATAATTCTTGTACATTGATAGCTGTTGAATTTTGTACGATGTTATATTGACATAAACATGAAAATTGTAATGGACGTTGATCAGAGGTATGTCGCATTTGAGACTGTTCACCTTCACCAGCAAACATTTTGGCAACGTTATGATCAATTGATGAAGATAAAAATGATCGATTTAATATATGTTGATTTAATTGATATGGATTTAAATCATTTTCTGTTATTCTCATTCCTCGATAGCACACACCTTTGTGCTGGTATTTACAGATGTCTAGATGAAATTTTAATAGAGTAACAATATGTACAGGACAATTTACTAAACGATAATTTGAACAAAAATCTTTGGTTTGATCAAAATATTGTAGAATATGTAAAGCTAAATGTTTATTTAATATTCTATGAAAATAATCTGTTAATGTGCAGGCTTTTATGAAATATCTCAGATAATCTTTTTCATCTATGGCTTTTCGAAAATAATCTTCAATAACTTTAATCTGTTCTTCGGTAATTCGACCTTCAGAATTACCGGTAGGAGGAATGTTCTTTAAATATTCATTTAAATAATAATGAATCACTTCTGCTAATAATTTCGATATAATTGGATGATGATTATTGTATGTTCTATATAAATGAATTGTCTGTAGAAATTCTCGACGTTTTTCGATTAAATCATGACCGGTGATAGACCATTGAATATAATCATAATCTGTTTCAGAATAAAATATTCGTTTATTAATAAATAATTGTTTTATATGATCAGCAGATGCTTCTTCGTATGGTGTCAAATTATATCTTAAATTTCTAATTGAAGTCAATGCACCATAATCTAATAAAACTTGAACCAGTTCTTTATGACCGTAATAACACGCGACATGCAGACATGTTGAACCAGTTGAAGCTTGAATTGTATTCAATATGCTAATATTATCGATTGATGTAAGCAAATTCTGAAGTTTTTCAACTTGATTTTCTCTACATAAATCATAGAGTATATCAACAGTTGATTCTTTATTACTTGGTTCTGGCGATGGTGCTATCATTAGAAAATTATTTTGAGTTAAACAGTGTGTATTCTAAAAAAACAGAATTTAACTTCTATAGACTATAACTTTATTGAAAAAGAAAAAAAAGAACAACAGATTATGGTACGACGAAAGCTTTTAATGTTCTTTTTTTATTTTTCTCTTTTGCGCATAACTTTTCATTAAAAATGATATTGATAAGGATAATATACGTCATAAAAATAGATAACGATCTATTCGTTTTTCCTCCTTTTGTTGTTTTGTTTTATTACACACATGTTTATTAGAAATATTTAGTATTTGTACAAATATATAATAGAACTAATAAAAGGAAGTTTTTTGTACGATGCACGTTAAATATAAGTAGTACTACAGATAAGAAATAAACAGTGACATATTTTTTTGTTGTACGTCAATATTAGTGTTGTAGCATAAAATTGTAAAGGAGAAATCGAAAAAACATTTTAATCACAACATCATATTTTCATTTCAAGTTTTAATAAACGCTAAAATAAAATTCATACTTCATTTTTATTACGGGTTATACTAATTAAACTTTAGCACTAACAGAACGAGCAGAAAATGCAAACATTTGACGTAATCACGTATAGTGCTCGACAGAAAGCATATGAATGCGGAAAAGAATAAGTATTTGAATTTTAAATCTTGCATCTTCATTATTACCTTTATTGAAAGAGAAGCGCCATTAATCTTTAAAACTATTTGTATAGATATTTGCTTTTAAGCTGAATAAATATTCATTGGCACGCATACCTAGAGTTTCACTCAAGGCAATAATACTGAGCAACAATAAATCTGTCTTATTAAGAAAAATGTTTTTTCGATTTCTCCTTTACAATTTTATGCTACAACACTAATATTGACTTTTTTTAAAAGATGCGCCGCGAAATAATCTACAGAACCATACTTAAACTTTAGTTTTAAACCTCGTATCTTTTCGACTTGAACTTTTTTTTTCTGCTATTATTTCTGTACAAAAAGTGTAGCAGAAAAGAGAACGCAGTTCTTTCTGTACTTTTGAATCTGCTCTTTCTCATTTTCTGTAAAAATTTTTTTAGATCAGATGGTGTGCTGGATAACGAGGTTACAAAAATACGTTAAAAACTGACAGCCTCGCGTTTCCAACAAATGTCCCAAGTAAGAAACGCAAAACATCATTGAAGTTTAATTTTGCAATTAGGTAGAGAAGAGCAATTATTTCTGATCAAAACAAAGCAAAGCCGATCGAAGAATCTTTTGTTTTGATGGAGTTATGGAACTTTTACTAAACGGACCACCAAATGCAAATTTAAAAAATTAATGAAAAATTGCGTGACAACAGATCGAAAAACCACTATTTATCCATGGATTTTGATGTAAAACAATTTGAAGTGTAGCTGAAAGATAGAGCGAAGTCATGGCTACATGATGGCTGATTCAGGCTTTTCTACTTTCAAAACGTTAACACAAGAAATCGTTTTTGATTTTGGAAAGTTTTCATGTTTTTCGTCTTTCGTAAAACTGGTGCAGTTTTCTTGATTGAAGTTTTGAAACTAAAGTTTAAGTATAGTTTTGTAGAATATTTCGCGACGCATCTTTTTAAAAAAACACTAACCATAGGGTCCTAAAGAAACACGAGGAAAATGGAAAATATGTAGAGGGACATTTATCCTGGCGCACTCGTTAGTATGACAATATAACACTATATTTAAAATAATACTCAAAGGTAACATGATTCAAACGATAAACTGAGCAAATAGCAACGTGAGAGGATTTATTTTGAAGAATCGATGTCCTGAAGAGTGAATATTTGTTAGATATACTCATATAGAGAGAGAATTGCAATAAAAAGGCTGAAAGTCATTCTCTCTTTCTTCAACATAAAATTTGTGTGTGGTGGAGCCGCTTAACTGTTTTTCTTTCGATCGGAAGGTTCCAATTATTGTTTTCACTCAAATAATGCCTAAAAAGACATCATTAGATGCAGTTTTTGGCGCTTATTACTACTCTTAACTTGAAAATAAAAGAAAGTTAAATTTTCACAGTGGAAAATTCAATTAAATGTAAGGTACAGGTAATACAAAATTTCACTGGAATTTGTTTCTGGCATTATTATACATAATCAGATTCAGCTTAATGAGCTGATTAAGAATAACACCTTCCGAGCCTTCAAAAGCCATTTCTTCATGGAGAAAAACTCAAAAATACAAAAAACCGTCCTGTATGGTGGAATTGAGTTTTTGAGCTTGTATGGCAAGATGGAAGGTTCGAGCTATATTTTTCTATAACAGCATTGAAAACTGATTTAGAAAAAGGTTTTCAGCTCATTTCAGAGGTAAACAGTGGTCCGCCACGGACGTCCGAACCAATGGCTGTCAACTGACTTTGACTCATTTTGTAAATCTATCTAGTTTTTTGGGTGAAGGGCTATATCGATGATTCACACATCATCAGATCGGTCAATACGCCAGTTTTAAAAATATGTAAAGCTTTTATAAAAATTCGCTTTCCTTGCTAAGAAAAACGGCTTTTACTGAAAACCAAAGGAAACAGCGAAATGACCTTTGGGAAATCAGGCCGTGTGTAAAACTTTTCAATAGGATTGTATTGATTTTCTTTCATGTTATGACAGCCCAAGGTATCCTCTTCAAAATGAGAGTCAAGTGAGATCTTGGTTTTCCGCGACTCGGGTGTTGTCCCGGATTTCTTGCGAGTCTCCGCACTGGCACTCGGTGACTATTGGTAGCCTTGAAAACGGGTGGACTATAGGTAACCGATCATGCTGAGTCTCGCGGCAATATTTTTTTTAGAAAAAATTCTAAAAGTCTACCGAAAAGCGAGTTTTACGAAAATTTGGGTTTTCAGGCTGTTTTCATCTATTAAAAAATTCACTATTCATTCAATATGCGAAAAAATCGAAAACGCATATTTGTGTTAATAGATTTTCCAGAAACCCTTTTGAAAAACCTTAGGATTTTGTAAACTTTCTTTTAAGATCTCCTATAAATAGGATATAGAATAGCTTAAATACTCTATATTCTGAAGTCTTGAACCTATTGTGATGTTGATTGAGTGAATAGTAAATTTTTTGACGCCGTGGCACTGCATTGTAGTGTGTTCGAGTTCGATACTAATTTACTCAACACATTCCTTCAAGCATATCAACTATTCAGCG